CAGACGATATTGCTTTAGCCAAATAAGCTCAGATGTTTTGCTAGGACATGGCATGATTTTAGATTCTGTGCAAGACTGATGGAAATTACTCCGGCTCCTATATTACTCACTGAACAGAAAACAATTCACAGGGTATAACCTCATGGAAGATACAACCCGGTGGCCTGGTGTATTCGAGAACACCACTCTCCTCACCACTCTCAAACTATTTTCGTGCCTCTCTCCATGACCAATCCTCACATATATCCTTTCCCTCTCTAACCGTCCCCCAAGTAAATGCCACAATTACCCTCAACAAACAACTCATGCCCCCTCACGTAGATCGGTTTACATATGGGCTTTCTTTCTGACATAAGTATACTGAGGCCCATGCTCAACAAAGACCCTGCAACCACATATTCTTTCTTGCTTTTCCAAGAGACCAAATTTCCTCCAACATACACTATCTATGTGCTATATAATCTCGAGAAATAACTTAAAAACACTTGGACAATAATAAACTCTAAACCTCGTGTATGCTGATACTTATCCTATAACACTCCTAATTCAGAAGCCTTAACTTTCAAAATTGTTTTTTCCCCCCAAAACTTGCCTTTTGAGATGTTCGTTCTCTCCTTTCTCTCTGATAACAGATATTTTGCTGATATGATGTGCATGTTGTGTGGTTGGTTATATAATTCCTAAGTTATATATGTACAATTCTATTGTCAATAAAGAGATAAGTTGCAAGGCCCAGTCTATGGATCAACTTTTCAGCCATCTCTTCAACTGGTTTCTTTGTTTGTGTATGGCAACACTCACTCACTTGCAATCCCATTGTTTTGCAGGAGCTGAATAAAGAAAGTTCTCGCTTCAAGGATGAACTCTGGTTGGGAATCCGTGATCTGAGTTCGAAGACAGATTTGATTGTTTTTGTTCATAATCTATCACATACCATACCTCGATACAATACTTCCAGTGTGCCTGAACAAAAGCCTGTCCTGTCCCTGTTTCTGGATGAGGCTAAATCTCTTGGGATTCCTTGTGTTCTTGCAATAACAAACAAATTCTCTGTTAGTGCACACCACCAAAGGGCTGCAATTGAAGCAGTTTTAAAAGCATACCAAGCATCTCCAAGCACAACTGAAGTTTTAAATTCCAGTCCATATGTTATGGCTACTGTTTCTGAGGCTTCCTTGTCACCACATGTGAGCAATGAAAAACTCAATAGAAGAATTGGTGTTCAAAAGCTTTTATTTGCTCCTATTAATGTTGTTAGGAGGCCTTTCCGGAGAAAGGAAATTGTTTTTCCAGTTGAAGGTGTTAACTCCCTCTGTCAGCGGGTCCACAGCGTTCTACGTAATCACGAAGAGGCTTCATTTCAGGTGAGAATCTTTTGTCATAGTATCAGATCTCTTTGTTCTCAATTAATATTCTTATTTTGACATGTACATGACATTTTACTTTATTTGTTTATATTTTTTCCTATATCTGAAACAAAAAATTAGGAAAGGACATGCAAACAAAAGTTGCAAAAACTGGTCAGTCATTGAGTAGTTCACAATCGAAAGGTCTAATGCAGTCAAATTGAGGTTTAAGTGAAGCTTCTTTTTAGAAATTTCGTCCAAAGATTCAAGTTTGAATGTGCAAAGTCAATAAGCGGGGTGTGATGTAAATTCAAATTAGGAGCGTGAAATTTATAGCTTTCTTATGTGAACCAACATAATATGTGACATCTAGTTGAACTTTCACATTGAGTAATATGTGATGCTTCATGTGATATTCAAGTGGATTGGTTCTCCTAGGAGGGTTTCCCCATCCCTCTTACGTGTCTATCAATCAGTATCAGGATTGGTGGTTGTCAACTCCAGGAAGAGCTAGCTGTGAAGGGTTTTCCATAAGCGAATCGGTTTACTTGTTCATTTGATAGAGCAAAATTTATAACAAACATGGATAATAGTAATTTCATTGTTAATTCCTTTATTACAGGAACTTGCTAGAGATAGACTAATGATGGAGTTGGCACGAGAACATCCAATGTCAATCGATGCAAGTAAAGATGCCACAGCGAAGGCAAATTCGTTGAATTCCGCAGCAGTGGGCGCATCAATAGGGGCTGGTATCGGCATTGTGATGGCCATTGTAATGGGGCAGCATCTGCCTTGAGGAAACCGTAAGGACCAATTCAAATCCTTTACACTTATAAGTGATGACATATGATGCATTCAGAGAGAGATAGAGATGAAAGAGAATGAGCTTGAACAGAGGTACATGTCATCCACAGACACTCTTTTAATGTCACTTTCTCCTTGAATGTATGACTTTATATGATTGTAGAGGGTCCAATTTTCAACTCCTCTCCTCTTTTACGATTGAAACTATGCTTTTAGTATCGCGCAATAGAAATTAGGTTGTATAGGTTATGTGCAGGTGCTCATGTTATTAGAATTTCATTCTTTTCTTGGATGTTACGTGTAAGATGGATATTTAATGAGGTTAAAAAAATATTTTTTGATTATATCAATAGCACACGTGTTTTCCGTTTATATAAAAAACATGCAAACAGTAAGAGATTAGTCTTTTATTATGCGGGTGGGAGGATATTCCGAGCAACCAACCAAAAAAAAATGCAAACCAATTTGCAGCTGCAGAGCAAACTCTGTCATCCAATCAGCGACCTGCAAAGCTTCTGTTATGATTTGAGCTAGGTTATGTTTGCCTTATGATTAAATTTGAGCGCATTGAAGTATAATCTGTATTTCACAAATTTTCTTCTTTTCCTCTTGTTTGAGGATGGGAGCTACAGAGTATTGATAGCTTTATTGCAACCTTCCGAGGCAGTAAAGAAAAGCTTAGATCTGCAGAATTAAACCTGGAATGAGGGAGCCTTGGGGACTAAGCCTACAAGATTGAGATACAAATCAAGCTTCCCTGAAGCTTCCCACAATCACGTGGGTCATTTAACTTATTTCTTAAAGTGGTAGCATTCACTTAATTGCAGAAATAAAGTTAGTCTTGATACAAATTTCCACGTCAAAACCCCAAAAAAAAAAATGCTATCTCCTGTTCTTAATATAAGAGCTAGCTGGAAGGGTTAGATTTGATCCTAAATATAATATCTTAATCTATTTTGTTCCTAATCTTTTCTCAAAATACTTCTGTTAAGTGTGATTGGAGAGGATATTTTAAGAAGACTGCATTTGTGACAAATAATTAACTTAATTAATTGTTTTAATATTTTCAAATTAGTTTAAGAAGACTAACACATATTTGTGACAAATAACTAATTTTTTAATATCATCAAATTGGTTGTATAATTTCTATATTAAGGATATAATTGAACTAATTATTTACTATTAAGATCACAGGTCAACATAAGATGGCATAGGGTGGAAAAGGAACTCTTTTGGACCATCTAATAATGTGGTATTAAGTTGTTAAGAAAATGAATATAATATTTTTAATAAAGTGTTTGATGACAAACACTTATGTAGATGTATACACACACGTTGTAAAAGTAAACCAAGCTCAAGGGTCTACAATTTTTTCAATATTAAACACAAGAATATCATTTAAAATGAATTATAACTGTTCAGTGCCCGTTTGGATTAGCGGTGAACAACTGTGATTTTAGATAATCGTGAATTTTATAAATGATACTGGCTATAAGTGACACTAGTTAATCGTGATTATATTTGGATATTTTTTTTATAAGTGATTTTAAGAATTGTTATTATATTTGGTTTTTATTTATTAAAATCACTTATGGGTGTATAATTACTAAAAGGACATGAAGTTAATAAAGTTGTTTACATTTTCATAATTATTATATTTAATAATAAATTTTATTAAATATTAAATTTTATTAAATATAATTTAATAAATGACATGAATATTTAAATATTATTTTATGTTAAAATTATTATTATTTAAAATTACTTACAAAATTTATGTGTAGTACAAATATTAAATAAAAGACCCCATATAAATAAGAGATGAATGAAAATATAAAAAAAATTAAAATAATTACTATTAGAATGAGCGGTAGATTAGAGAAAATTTAGTTACTGAAGATTCATTGGGATTTTTCAAACGCAAAAGCTACTTCTTATTGCTTATCCTAAAAGTGCGGTGAAAGGTTAAAATCATGATTCATCGGGATTTTATAAAAATCGTCCAAACACCCTAAACATGCTTCATAAGCACTTATTTGAATTTAAACGGGCTTATTTGATATCCCACCGCTTAACCAAACAGGCTCTCAGTTGATTTAGATGTGAGATTTGTCAAAAATTATAATTACTTAATTAAAATGTTGAACTAGCTAAAATAATTAAAAGCTCAATATTTGTTTGAAATAACAAATAAAAGCCAAGCTCATCTGAGTTTGATTTTCTTTCCGTTCCTAATTAGCCTTAACCACAAAGCCTGTCGTCACAAATTAAATTTAGAATTCACCACTTCTCATTTAAACTATTTTCTTATATTTAAACTAGTCATTTTTAATATTTTATAAAAGGTTATTAAAAATTTAAAACAATAAAATAAATAATCCAAACTATTCAAATTTAGGATGTGTTTATTTGAAAAATGTGGCTCTTATAAGATAACATGAAACAACCATATCTCAAATTAACAAGAAAAAAAATGATTTTCCTTTATTTTGACTAACCACTTAAATTAACTTTTTAAGTAATTATTTCTAAAAGCTAATCCAAGTAGTTGATCAAAATAGGATTTAAGCAAGTGATGGTTGTTTCATGTTTGGTTTACCAACATCATTTTTTCATTTTCTTTTAAAGTTAAACAAGCATGCATTCAACTTGAACAATTTAAATATGCATTATAAAGCAAGTGAAAAAAAAAATCATTTTATAGAATATTACGCCTAAACCATCTAAATTTAATCATCCCATCCAAGAAATGGATGGAAACCAAGGGTGGCAGGGAGAAATCATATGAAACTCGTCCAAATAGGCTTTTGGTCATATGGATATAAGGAAGAGTATACTCCTTTTTTGTACCGTCTCAGTCACATCAGGATCAAGGGCCTCAAGAATTAAGGAAGAAGGTCTAGTAAATTGAAAATGAATAACATGCTTTGCAATATGTGAACCTTTAGAAAAAATATTGACCTCCTTTGTTTTGGGGGGGCACAACAGAGGATGAGGAGATTTCATACTATCAAGGAAAAGTAAAGGAAGGCTACACCGAAAATATCCACGGCAGTAACAAAACCAAGTCTGGAACAAGGCTCATGAAGAACAGCATGAAAAATTCAGCCGGCCTTGCTTTGATCCCGCCCCGTTAGCGAGGTTGACTCGATTCACAGACAGTTCGGCCTTGTAAGAATCAGAGTTCAACACTTTCCGGCTGATATTGTTGTAGATTTCCCTGATAACAATCTCGAAAGCTGTTTGAACATTGGTAGAATCAAGTGCAGATGTCTCCATGAAGAACAAGCCTTCTGCTTCTGCGAGGCCTTTGCCATCCTCTATGCTAACCTCTCTGATATTCTCCAGGTCACACTTATTCCCCACCAACATTCTTGCCACTGTGGTATCACAATGAACTGCAGGGTCGTTCATGCAAGAGTCAGAAACTCGTGAACTTCAAAACAACAATTCATTAAATGAAGAGTAAGTAACTACATAATGTTTCAAGTCGCATCAAAGATGACATGGCAAGGCAAACCATACAGGCCTCAAAATGAAGTCTTATTTAAAACCAAGGGGGGGGGGGAGATCTTGAGAATTGTTTTGATAGATGTTTCATCATCATAAGCACATTAAATAACGATTCTGCAAATCAAGGGTTAATTATCAGCAAAGAAATTCTTGGGTATGCTTATTCTTTCTACTTAGAAGGCAGTCTAAGCCAAACTGATTCAGTTCTTTAATTTTTAGGGGGTGCTTTGGCACTTGTTCCTATTTTTGAAAAAGAAAAATTACAGCAAACACTTTGGAGCTCTTTGGTATATCAAATGCTACGTATAGAGAGGGAATGAAGCAAAAAATGACACTCATTGCCATGGGTAGAAAAAGAAGAATTAAAAAAGCCACTGTTGATAACGATCCGAATGACATAGTAAACATTGCATATTTCATTTTCTTTGCGTTAGAAACGGAGTCTATTTTTTATTTTTATACCAAATGGGCTTAAGAAATTGCACTCTAGTAAACATCATCAAAGAAGACAGGTCATCTCAATTAATTGTGTATCTAACGCTATAGGCAAAATGCTATTCATGTCCAATAGAAAAGAATCTTCCAACTTCCCCAAAAAAAAAAAACCCCCTTGTTCTTCAAACTCCAACCATCTATAACATTAATTAATAAACCTTATAAATGCCACCAAACAAGCTGTCAATTCCATTATGTACATGGATGGTCCATCATTGATAGCATCTCTGTCACTTTACCAGTTTGAATAAGTTCCAAAATTATAATTTTATGACATTCTTTTATCATCAGTTTTTTCTTGGCCAGACATTTTTATCATCAGTTAACAAGCACAGTTCATTTCTATTATAAAATTTCTCATCAGATCATAAGTAGTTATTTGGGTATAATATCCCCATGAAAACCACCCGAACTTTCATTGACTTATTTTCATATATATTCTGTTCCAATAAAGAAAGAAATAACAAACAGCTAAGCAAGTGCCAGCAACTAATTTAAGTAACAAAAACCCTACTACATTGAATTGCAGAGGCATTACATAAAGAAGGAAACCCAACTCTGATTTAACTTCACTTACAAAACAATTAATCACCATGAAAGCAAAACTGAGGAAAAGGGAAGGCCTACTTTCCTTCTGAGTGCAATCCAAAACAAGAAAACAATGAAAGCAAACCAAAATTAAGAGCAGAGAGTAACAGTAACAAAGAAGTAAACTGAAGCAACATCTAGCAAAATGTCAAATGCATGATGAGAAGAGATGCTACATAATGTACGCAACTGTTACCAACAATCCTAATTAATTCGGATTAGGGGCTCTATCCGGTTTTCAAGATAGCTTTCATCTATTGAGAATGACTTGCTTGATCCTTTTAAATTCTTCAACCAAACAATGCAGTACGCACACATTGAGTTGATCAACAGCTGTAGACCTTAAAAATGTTTCACAACAAATGCATCAACAATTGAGATTATTGACGTTCATTCGTTTGCATTATTAGTTATACTTTCTTAAGAATTCATCTAATACAGCTGACTATTATTTAAAATCCTTTTTAATTATACTAGTAAACCCCTCGAAGCAGATTCACCAATAACAGAAGTCGTGAAAACAAAAGGAGAGGAACAAGGCAAGCCTGCTTTCCCTTTCAAAACTATCAGGAGAAATGAAACAGATCCATGAATCACCAGTAGTTCAAAAAGAAAAACACGGTATAGAATTTAGAACACTTACGCTAGACACACCATGATATTTCAACTTACATTCATACACTGCATATTTAATCTTATCATGTCGATATCAGATAAAGATAAAAGCAAACAGAAATTAAGAGCAGCGTGTTAGAATAAACATACTAGAAAGCTCCTCGAGCCACCTTTTGGTGCTATCAAAAGTGCTTCTCCTACTGATATCGTAAACAACGAGAGCCCCAACAGCACCTCTGTAGTAAGCAGAAGTGACAGCTCTGAATCGTTCTTGGCCAGCAGTGTCCCAGATCTGAGCCTTAACTTCTTTGCCATCAATTTCCACAGCTTGGGTCTGAAACTCAACCCCAATTGTAGCCTTAGAATTGTTATCGAACTCGTTGCGAGCAAAGCGAGAGAGCAAATTGGACTTGCCAACAGCAGAGTCGCCAATTAGGACAATCTTGAAGAGATACTCCTCACCCACCTCCTCGTTGTCCTCCATTGCCACAAAATTTTCGAGCTTTGTGAGCTTCCGAGTGTGGGATTCCGCTGCGAAATGTATAAATGGGGCTCAGAAGAAACAAGAACGGTATTGGGGGTGTGAACCGAGTGAAGGAGCGGTGGGGTTTTGCTTCAGGCACGTCGCGTGATTGGCGGGGTTTATCGCTTCTTTTTATTGATGGAGCCGATTTTAATATGATAATCGGTGTCCATTTGACCGACCTTTCGGTCCAAAGCATTGACTTCTTTCCATACCAAAATGACCTGGCGCGGCTCCAATAGTACTACTAAAAATCATTTGGAAAAATCCTAAAAAATCACGGTTAAATTTTAAAATGACAAATTAGTATTGGTTATTATATTTATAAAAAAATGACTATACCTACAAAGTAAATAACAACATATTTTTGTAGTAATTCCTAATTTGTCATTTTAAAATTCAACAGTTATTTTTTTTTTTGGATTTTCCCAAATCATTTTTACCTCATTCATATTATTGCATATTACCTTATTCATTTCTGAACCATTTCGCTCAATTTAACGCTTGCTTGAGTCTTTTGTTTTTGATAAAATGTCAAATTTATTCAAATTCAAATAAAAAGATTAAATAAAAAGGCTGGCCAATTACTCTCGATCAATTTGAGCAAAGCTCAAATGAATCAAAGAAGAAGGTCGGCCTAACACGAGTGAAATAAGAAAGCAGGATAAGCCAACAACAAAAACAACTGAAAAAACTAAAATAACGAGAATAGAAAAGAGGTAAATAACACCACATAAATTAAAGCAGGCCCGGATTTGATTGTAGTCTCCAATTTAGCAGCAGGTTTGAGACCGTCCAAAGCTTAAGTCTCTGGCTACACTTATAATTTCTCTTCAACGCATGAACACTCAGCAGTACATACATGTTACTTTGAAGCTGCATCATTAGAAGGAATTCACATGCTTGCTTTCAAAAGATATATAGCGCGGCTACCATTGGTTTTGCATGAGTTTGCATATGCCACCCTACTTGGATGCACTCACGTAAGTTTCTTCTATGGGGTAAAAGAAGATAAAGACCCCATCCATACTTTTGGATAATGATCATATAAAAATGGTACTTCTTCGATCCTTGATATAAGACCTGTTTAATTAATTTAATGAGATTAAGAAAGTTAGATAAGTTGGTTAATTATAAAAAAATGACATGTTTTTTCTAAAACACCATAATCATCTTCTTTAATATCCTCTCTCCTATTTCTGCTTGATTATGGATGAGGGAGTATCCATAAAGGTAATTTAGAAAAAATTGATAAATATAAGAAATGGTCTTATATTCAACAATTAGGTTCTATATTAAGAACCAGAGGAGTATATTATTTTGGGTAAATGAGTAACATGTAAAAGAGTGCAAACGTGCTGCCACGCCCTAAATAAACAACATAATTATTATAAGTGATAATATGGTAGGTGAAATATCTAATAAAAATGAAACTTGTATGTATTAATAATTGACAATTAAAATGGGACAAAAAATAAATGCACAAAGCATATATAAGACTGGACAATCCACATGAAAAATGTTAAAATTCAAAGGTATACTTCTTACATATTCACAATTTTTCTTGGACGTGATGAAATTTAAGCTTTCATGTCCATGAAATTGCGTTCGTATAATTCTTGTCTCTCTTGCAACTGATGCTATGTTGGGTTACTCAAGTTGTCCCGACATTTTCTGCATCCTTGAACCACATTGATCACCACATACTCACATGTAACAAGAATTTGCTCAATAATAGCTTCTTGATCCATTCTGATTACAGTAGCATCTGGAAAAATGGTACTATTAATTAGTATGCTGCTTCAATCTTTTTTTTCAGTCATTCCTTGTACAAAATTGATGCTTTATTAATTTTCCATTCCTCAAACTCTATAACAACTACCTTATTTGTATAATTTTCTTCAGTTTAGATAATTGATTTTTTATTTTGAAAAAAAAAAGGTTGATGGCCTAACGGCCGGATGAATTCAAAACATCTTAATGGCCTCATCAACCCCTTCTTGATTGTACCGTGTACAGCCAACAGCCTACATCAAAGCCCTTAATTAGGACCCGTATAAAACTTATGAAATTTTTTTTTAAAAAAAAAACTAACAGTAATTAAGTTAAATAGAAGGAATTAAACTTATTTTAAATCAGGTTAAGTACACAAATTAAATCTTATAAATAAGAATACTAATGATAACAATGTTATTATACATAATCATATTCAATAATTACAGCACTTAAAGTTAACCATCTAATCGGATTTAATAATGCTCCAATATGATTAAATAATATTGAATGCCATATCTTTGTATACATATAAAAATGAATGCCACTTATAATCTCATTTAATTTATTTAATTTTTTTATTTTGCACTGGCATGAATGCGGTCCCGTTTTAACAATTACTATAGGAGATGGCTCATGCAAAATGAAGACTTTTGCTAGACATTGATATACTTTCCCTTGTACTATTCTTGGTGCATGAGCCTATTAAGAGCTGGGATTAATTAGGCCCAAAATGGAGCTTCAACCTTGCTTGAGAACCTTATTATGGGATTTCATGCACTACTATGATTTTTTTTCTCTTGATTAATACAGGCTTTAATATTTAAAATTTGACCGCATTTTATTTTTAATCTCTGAAATTTGAAACCACTATTTTCTGTCTTTGAAATTTACTCCATTTATAGATGTTAGTTCTTATAAGTTAAATGGTGTTAAATATTGCGGATATGATACAAACACCGTTAATTTCGATAATGTGGCATGATGATTGGGGAAGATGAGCTTACATCCTTATAACTTGTGTGGATATATGAAGAAGAGGGGGGAAAAAGGGAGAAATGGCTTCAAAACGTAGCGCACTAAGAGCAACAACACTGTTTATTAGCGGAGGGTTCTGTTGGCTGTGGTTTCTCTCTCTTGGGAAGCATGCTAAAGCTTTTCTGAGAACTCCATAGATGATACAGGGCAACGAAAAATGCCACCAGATCGCAAATCAACCGAAGATTGCGCTGGGAAGAATAAGAAGAAAAAGATTGAAGAACCACTGCAAGCTATTATGGATGACCGGATGGATGACGAAGTCGAAGCGGAGCAATCCTCCGGGGAAATGAACAAGAATATGCAAGGGGGCTTCATTTCATACAAAGCCTCGTTAATAGGATTCAATGGCGTGGCCCACGGTGCGTGCCCAATGGAGGAAGATGACCTTTTCAATGCCGAAAATGAGCTTCACTGGAAGTTACCGGAAGTATCTGAAGAACTCAAAAAACAAATGGAAGTATACCCGGTGGTGCCTATCACAGAGGAAGAGTTCAATGAGTGGTGTCAGCCCTGGAACTATACCTCGGTACTGACAGTTTTAGGCAGGAGATTCAATGTTTATGTGCTGAGAGATTACCTGCGAAACCTGTGGGGTTTCTTCGAGTTCGAACTAATCGACCTCCCAAATAATTATTTCCTTGTGCGTTTCAACGAAACTGAACAATGGAGAGCCCACTACCGGAAAGTTTTATACGATGGCCCATGGGTGGTTAAGCAACATTGCGTTCTGGTGCAGAGGTGGTCACCATATTTCAATCCTCACCAAAATCCTCTACGACGGGTTGCTACATGGGTGCGGATCCCCGATATCCCCATACACTGCTACAATAGTCATTGCATCACCAGAATCGGGGACCGTATTGGCCGAACGTTGAAAGTGGACATTAACACACTCAGTGATGGTCTGCATGCAAATAGGACGAAGGTGGAGCGAGGCAAGTACGCGAGAATCTGCGTGGAGCTGGACCTGCAAAAGAAGCTAGTGCCTCGAGTCATTGTTGCTGGGGAAATTTTTAACGTAGAATACGAAGGACTGGGAGTAATATGCTTTGCTTGTGGCCGATTTGGTCACCGGCGTGAAGCCTGCCCCTGGAAAATTAGTATGAATATGCAAGAGGCCAGTGCCTCCACATCACCGCCGGTAGTGGTAACACCGTCGAGCACGCAGGAAAAGAAGAAAGCTGACAATGACGAGACATTTGGAGTATGGATGCTTGCTGGGAAATCATCCAAAGCTCAGTTCCCGAAACAAGGAGAGCAGAAACTAGGGAGGAGTACTATCACTGGTCAGCCGAAGGTAAGACGACCTGAGCAGAGGTTCGTACAGAAATCAAGGTTCTCAGTTTTTGAGGATTGGGAGGAGACAGAGCAGACGGAAGAAAAATCACCCCTAGCCATAAGTAGGGAAACTGCAGAACTTGTAGCAGAAGGAAAGGCTATCGTTCCTTATCAGAAAAAGAGAACTCTAGAAGGAGTTAAAGACCAATCACGTCGCGTTAGAAGTGAATAGGGGCGCAAGGATGCTCAAGGATCAAGGTTACTTATCAAAGCGGTGGGGAAGGAAAACTAGCCGCCCATAAATGGGCCAAATTCAGGGGATGGGCCAAACAAAAACTTAAGGAGTAAGACAGCTGAGGGGGATCCACTTATGGGCCAGTCAAAACAGAATAGACAGAAGAGTCAGCGTACCCACAAGGTGGTAATGGGTAACATGGAGCAGATAGAGTCAGAGAGCAAAGAAGGCCAACCGAGGAGTATAGAAAAGCCCTGTAAAGAAGAAGCGCACGTCCTGTCCCATGCACTCGCTCTCATAACGGACAGTAATGGTGAGCAAGGAAACCACGACGGAATGGGCAACACACAGAGCAACACGTTAGCTCTGATTGCAGTGGGGGATTTGAATCCAGAACCACCAGACCCATCAGTTGAGCAACCTGTAAGGCTAGAAGAGGAGATAGAGATGAGCTCGGATGTAGCTAAGGAGAGGCAAAGGGGCCGAACCAGGAGTGACAAATGCTGAAAGGTGCCTGCCTTTTCTTTTTCACCTTTTCTTTCTTATTTATTATGATTATTGGTGCGTGGAATTGTAGGGGTGCTGGTAGCCGAAGCTTTCCCACCCTGATAAGAGATATTGTTGCAAAGTTTAGAGTGGATATACTCGGTCTTGTGGAACCACGTATTAGTGGGAACAGAGCAGATAACGTGGTAAAAAAGTTGGGTTTCTCTCACTGGATAAGGGTAGAAGCTAGTGGGTTCTCAGGAGGAATCTGGCTTTTGTGGAATAGTGAGGAGTTCACAATTACTTACATATGCTCCTCGACACAGTTCATCCACTGTAAGGTGAGTAGCAGAAGGAACCCGAATAAGGAGTTCATTACTATCGTCTATGGGGAGACGAGGTCAACTGAAAGAATGATGCTTTGGGAATCCTTGAGACTGATCGCTGGCTCAATTACTGGACCCTGGTTGGTTCTTGGGGATTTCAACGCTTATCTGTCGCCAGGGGACAAGAAGGGCAGGGGTAGCCCGATTGAAGCAATCATGAAACCCTTTCAGGAGTGCATTGATGATTATGGCTTAGTTAAGTGTGAGATAAGAGGGGATAGATTTACGAGGGAAAGAACTGGACTCAAGGAACGCCTAGACTGGGTCTTCTATAATGCGATATGGTCTACTTGCTATCCAAAAACTCTTGTTTCGCATGAGCTTTGTTTTAAATCTGATCATAGGCTTCTAATCATGAACTCCAACGGACTAGATAACCATAGGAGGAGACCGAGGACTTTTACTTACCAAGCGGCTTGGGAACTTGAAGAGGATTTTAAGGAGGTCATAGCGCAAGCTTGGAAGCAAAATTCCTGGTTAGAAGGTGTTAAAAAGTTCCAAAAGGAAGCACCAAAATGGCATGATCAACATGTAGGCAACCTGGGGAAGAAGAAAAAGGACATTGTGAAAAGACTAGAAGGGATTGATAGACATAGAAGGACTCACGACCACCCGGGTCTTAGAAGGCTGGAGGAGAAACTTTGGGCGCAGTACCAGAAAATTATACTGCAAGAAGAATTACAATGGTACGAAAGATCGAGATGCAAATGGTTGTTGTGGGGTGACAAAAATACCCGATTTTTCCATGCATCCACTGTCCTCAGAAGGAAAAAATAGAGAATTGAGGCTTTAAAAAATGACTGCGGAGAGTGGGTAGAGGAACCAGAGATTTTGAAGCAGATGGCTTGTGAATTTTATATGAAACTATACACAAAGGATTCGAGAACCCCATCTTCTTCAGGATGGCATGCAGAATTCCCGCAACTGGATAGACAAGAGCTACTCTGGCTTCAACGACCAGTGGATTCAACCGAAATTAAAAATGCTGCTTTTGATATGGGGGCTTTTAAGGCCCCAGGTCCAGATGGAATAAATGCTCATTTTTTCCAGCGCCACTGGAATCTGATCGGAGACAAGGTTTGTGATCTAATCAAGTCTTTCTTCGAAGAACCAACAAAGATCAGAGAAGTAAATCAGACACGCATTGTCTTGATTCCTAAGGTGGACAATCCAGTACACCTCAAGGACTTCAGGCCAATTTCTCTCTGTAACATCAGCTTCAAGATTCTTACTAAGCTCCTCGCCTCCCGCTTTAAAAGGGTGATGGAGAAGTTGGTTAGTCAGGAGCAGTGCAGTTTCATACCGGGACGATCTAGTTGTGATAACATAGTCATCGTCCAGGAAGCCATGCACACAATGCGGACCTATAAGTGGAAGAAAGGCTTGGTGGCTGTTAAAGTAGATATGGAGAAAGCTTATGACAGATTAGATTGGAACTTCATCAAAGATACTTTGTGCTGTATTGGCATAAACGGTGATCTAGTGGAGATCATCATGTCATGCATCACGACAACCTCGATGTCGATCTTGTGGAACGGTGAGGAAAGCACTGAATTCAACCCCACAAGAGGACTCAGGCAAGGAGATCCTCTCAGCCCATATATTTTCATCCTGTGTATGGAAAGACTAGGGCAGCTTATAAATTGGAATGTGAAGAAAGGAGATGGAAACCTTGAGATTCAGGAAAACAGGGCCTAGCATCTCATACCTCTTTTTTGCAGATGACCTTATATTGTTTACAGAAGCCTCGGTGGACCAAGTATTGGAAATGAAACACGTATGGAGAGTTCTGCCTTGTTTCGGGCCACCGTGTGAATCTGGAAAAGTCAAAGATGTTGTGTTCAAGAAATATTAACCATAACAGGGCCATGGAGCTAAGTAGAATACTGGGCATTGGACTTACTACTGACCTTGGAAAATATCTGGGAGTACCTCTGCTTTATAATAGAATCACCAAACAAACCTTCTCCTATATAATTCAGAAAGTGCAGAAGAGACTCTCATCATGGAAGAGCCGGTTTCTTAGTCATACAGGGAGGTCGGTTCTCATTAAGTCAGTGCTGAATACAATACCTAGCTACCTTATGCAGTCAACCCTCATTCCAAAGGGGGTCCTTAAAGAGGTAGAAAAAGCGAGCAGGAGCTTTCTGTGGAGTCAAGATGCAGACGCAAGAAAGTTGCACACAGTCTCATGGGAGAGGATTACTGACACGAAAAAGAACGGGGGTCTGGGTTTTAAGAACTTGTACCAACAAAATGAAGCTTTTATAATGAAGTTATGTTGGGGCCTGATCACCAAACAGAATGCGTTATGGGTCCAAGTGCTTAGAACCAAGTATAAGTGTGGGAATGATGAAGCTCCTCGAGTTTACTATAGAAGGATAGCCTCCCGCACTTGGAGATCCATAGTTAACGTGTGGGAGACCTTTATGCAAGGAGTGGGGAAGAAAATCAACAACGGAGAGAATACCAGCTTTTGGTGGGATCAATGGACTCCCCTGGACTGCCCCCTCATAATGTACGTAGGCAGGAATTCCAGTTTGGATCCTAAAGCTACGGTTAAGGATTTTGTACAGGAGAATGGCACTTGGGATGTTGACAGCTGGCATGGGGTTTTGCCTCACCACGTTATCATGACCTTGCTACGTATAAAACCCCCTGCTAACCGATCGGTGGATGTCTATGTTTGGAGACCTGCAACTGATGGGAATTTCTCTGTAAAGTCAGCGTATGATTTCCTAGACAGGAGACAGCAAGCAGGTAGGGGATCTTGGTGGCATAAACTATGGAAATGTGGGGTTCCAAAAAAAATTAAATTCTTACTTTGGCAAGTGACCCATGAGAGTATAGCCACAAATGCTTTCAGAGCCCGAAGAGGGATATCAGATAATGCAAACTGTCCTTTCAATTGCCAGGAAGAGGAGAGCATTTTACATGTGTTGAGAGACTGTGAGAGAGCAAAAAATTTTTGGTCATCTATAATTCAGCCTAACTGTCTTTCTAGTTTCTATGCTCAAACTTTGCAGGATTGGCTAGTATGGAATGCTACACATCGACCAGCAGCTGGAAGGTTCTCAAACTGGGAATGGCTACGAGTCTTCATGTTTGGATGCTGGCTACTCTGGACATCTAGATGCAGTTATGTTTTTGAAGGAAAAGCAAACAATACGAGAGAACAACTTCAACAGTGCAGATATCATCTGATGGAAAGCATAACAAACCAGCAACTTCAGCATGAAGTTTTCAACGCAGCCTCGAGAACTGAAACCCAATGGACACCGCCTCCCACGAATGCAGTCAAACTCGACGTTGATGGATCGGTGCAAGACAACCAACACGCTGCATGCGGTGGAGTGATCAGAGACCACGAGGGGAAATGGCTCATGGGTTTTCAACGTAACTTGGGCTACTGTTCGATTACTGAGGCAGAGCTACTGGGAATTCAGACAGGTTTGCAGACATGCCAACAGTTAGGTGTGTCCAAGGTCTTACTATATACAGATTCCTTGGAAGTGTTTAACCTTCTAATGAGAGATCGGGTTATAGACCATCCCTTGAGACTTCTTATTACGGACACAAGGGAGATGATCTATGACCACGGGCTAGTGGAGGTCCATCACACGGGGAGAGACATTATTAAGTGGGCCGATTTTTTGGCAAGAACAGGACATCAAGGTTCCTTCAATACGGTACAGATTCCAAATGAGCCAACGGAATGCATGAGTATGGTGCTGGAAGATCAACAAGATGATTAAGTTGGGGATCTGGTTTTTCCGTGTAGTCCTTTGCGGGCTTTGTTTTTCCCTGTAAACTTTTATTTCCTTTAGTTTGTACGCGGGTCGCAATCTCAAGCTACGGCTTGTCGTCTTTCATCAAAAAAAAAAAAAACACTGTTTATTAGCATTTTTGCCACATAAATTATAAGGATGCCAGGTTATCTTATTTAATCATCAAGCCACGTCACCAAAATTAACGATGTTTATGCCAAACTATCAATGTTTAGCACCATTAAACTTATAGGAACTAATGTTTATGGACTGCGTATGTAAATTTCAAGGATAAAAACACCGGTTCCAAGTTTTACGAACCAAAACTAAAATAACGTCAAATTTACATTAATAAAAGTTATATTAACCTCTTTTTTTTTTTAATGATAAGATAACTTTTATTAATTTAAAAGGTACAAAGTCAATTGTGCCCTCTACATAATGGTAACACGTGGCTGAATAGGATGCCCAACAAACAACATATGAAAACATACCAAAAATAAAAGATAAAGTAAAAACGGATTGTCTTACGAGCCCAAATCAAAATTAGCCTTGCAAAATAAAACCCATGTTGAACCCTCATTGTGCACTAGCAAACTAGCTGCCCTGCAGAACTAGAGAAGTTTTACTGACCAAGAACTTTCTGAAGGCGAAAGATTGTTCAAAACCATCAAGACACGCCACTACAAGGCCTTGAAATAAGCTACAAGCCAAGTCTCACGATGTACGTACTACAAGGGCTATTAAAATCTCCTTTGGTGTTATATTGCACAAGGCACGTTATTCACAAAATAAAACTGGTTGCCTCCGCACGACCCACCAAGATTCATGCTAAAACTTGGAAAACCGGCCATCACCAAAATTTTGATGCAACACCACCATATATTTTAGTGCAAAAAAATATTATCTATCTTTGGTACGAAAAAATAGAGAAAATTTTTCAATAAGTTTGATTTGAAAAATTGAAAAAATATGATTAAAAACTTTTAATTAGTCTTTATTACTCTTTTATTTACATCTTCATTTCATTAAAATTTTATAACCATATTTCTCCAACTTTATTAAATCAAACTCGTTGAAATTTATCACCTACTCTTCCTCTCCTCTATTTCCTTCCCTCATACAAAACAAATAGTTAGGCTTGGTTTGAATGAAAGGAAAATGGAGAAAAAGAATGAAATTAAGAAGAAAAACTTTAAAAATAATAAAAATAATACTCCTCCGGTCCTTAATATAAGACCCAATTCTTGAGTTGGTTTTGGTTCTAAATATAAGACCCATTTCTCATATTTATCAATTTTCTCTGAATTACCCCTATAGATACTCCCTCAACCATAATCAAGTAGAAGAGAGAGGGGGGTATTAAGAAAGATGATTATGGTGTTTTAGGAAAAATGTGTCACTTTTTTTATAATTAACTAACTTACCTAACTTCTTTAATCTAATCAAATTACTTAAATGGGTCTTATATTAAGGACCGGAAGAGTAATATATTTTTAAAATATATATTTTTGGAAAACTTTTCGTTCTAATATTCTTTCCTTTTTATTTTTCCTCCCATTCAAATTGAAGGTTAGTCTCTTTCCACCATTTCCTTCCCTCCTAGATTCCTAGCTTCCTTGTACAAGCATATTCCATCTCTTTAATTTGTACCCCACCTCAGTGACAACAAGACTGGATTCCCTTTGTTAACTTGCTATGAAAATGACTTGGCTTGATCCTTTTCAAGCCATAACAGAGCAAGCCAAGACGCTTTTTATATAAGAATGGCACATCTCCATTCACTTTATGGCCAAAGAAGTTAACCAATGTACTTATTCTTTAACTGCATATTATCTCACACAAACGGATAATTTTTGTACTTACGCCATTCAAAAGTTACTTAACTAATTTGAGTAAATTACAAAATTAACAAGATTATTTACTTCTATCAAATATGACTTAATCTCTTATATTGATGTCTTATAAATTTAAACAGCAAAATGTATTAAGATTTTATATTTAAAATGAAAGTGAACTCTTATCTCACTCATATATGAGATAGCCTTTGAAGTTTACAAGATTTTCTCTGACATCAATTTTTGTGCCGAATTAAACGAACAAACAAAAAAACTCGTCCCCTTATTTGTCATCCAAACTTTAATGATTGGCCACCAAAGCTTTAGCAACACCAAATAAAAAGTTACAAGGAACCATTGACCTTGAAAATTGAGATCATGCTTTGAAAAAGGAGAAAATGACAAATAAAAAAAGCTGAATATATTATATTTTAATTTGGAAGCTACGGATATTAAATAACAGAAAGGGAAGTCATTCCCAAATTAAAATTTTAAAATTCAGTAAAATGATAAAAATGTTCTTTATTTTTTTTTTTAAAACAAAAAGGCTCAACTCCTCACGAGTAATTAGTCGATGCCAGCCACTGGTGGAATTTTTTTTTGTCATGGATTTTTTTTCCAGTGAGAATATTTCAAGAAAATGGTGGGAGTAGGATTTGATTTCACTACCTCTTAGTCATTTGTGTCAACAAAAGAGAAAACGATCATTGGGCCACCAAAAACTTGTTAATCTTATAATGCAAATAAAAATATAAGTAAACTCTTTTATTGTTACTCTAACCCATGACAACAATTTATCTAGAAATGACAAGTCTTAATTGAGAAATAACAAGTCTAAATTTGATATTAACAAAATAATTTTTCCCGATACATAACAGGAAATAACATATACATTAATTAAAAGGATAATAATTTATTTGAAAATGATATGTTTTGATTGAAAAATGACAAACCTAAACTTGACATTAATAATGTGTTTTTCCTTATACGTAACAGGAAATAACAGGTGCATTAATTAAAAATGACAACAATTTGTTTGAGAATGACAAGTTTTGATTGTGAAATGACAAATCTTGATTGTAACTAGATGAGCTATGCCTGTCACATACATAAATAGGATTTTCAATATTTAAACTTAATTGACTGTGAAGGAAAGAATGCATCAAAATAAAGTCAGATATAGTCTTTTGTAGATAAATAAACAAATTTGACACATACAAATCATTCAGGGAAGGGGGGAAAAAGAAGCACAAGTTCAAAACAAAAACTATAATCAAGCAATCAAGACTTGTTATTTTCCAATTAAGACATTTCATTCCCAAATAAATTGTTATCATTTTAATTAATACACATGTTATTTCCTGTTATGTATCAGGAAAAAACATTGTTAATCTCAAGTTTAGACTTGTCATTTTCCAATCAAGACATGTCATGTCCAAATAAATTAGTCATTTTTAATTAATATACATGCTATTTCTTGTTATATATTAGAAAAAGTTACTTTTTTAATATCAAATTTAGACTTGTCATTTCATAATCAAGACTTGTCATTCTTAAATAAATTGTTATCATTTTTAATTAATGTACCTATTATTTTGTGTTATGTATAAGGAAAAACACATTGTTAACCTCAAGTTTAGACTTGTTATTTTCTAATCAAGACATGTCATTTCCAAATAAATTATTGTCATTTTAATTAATGTACATATTATTTTTTGTTATGTATCAAGAAAAATTACTTTGTTAATATCAAATTTAGACTTGTTATTTCTCAATTAAAACTTGTTATTTCCAAAGAAATTGTTGTCATGAACTGGAGCAACAATAAAAGAATCAACTTATATTTTTGTTTGTATTATAGTGTTATAAATCATTGGTGGCCCAATGGTCACTTTTTTTTTGTTGGCCTAATTGGTCAAGGGGTAGTGGGATCAAATCTCACCCCATCACTTTTTTGAAATATTCTCACATGGCCAAAAAACAATATAAGACAACAAAAAAATTCCACTGGAAACCACTATATCGATGGTCAGCCAATCGGCGAGGGGTTGAGCTTTTTTTAAGAGGAAAAAAAAAGAAGACAAAGAGTATTTTTGTTATTTCACTGAATTTTAAAATTTCAATTTGAGAATGATTTCTCTCTTTGTCATTTAAAATCTTTAGCTTCCTAAATTGGGATATCATATATTCAGTGTTCTTTATTTATTAGTATTTTGGAAAAGTTAGTTTTGAGTTTTGTGTGCCAGTAATAAATTAAATATTAATGACTATTTCACTTTAAAAAATAACAATTTTAATAATATGAAATGACGCAAAGTTTAATCAATGACTAGAAGTATTTTGAAAAGTTAGGATTAGGTTTTAAGTGCTATTAATAGCCTCAAAATGAGTGACTACTTTATTTTAAAAATGATAATTTTATTCATATGAAATAATTAAAAAAAACTTAGAAAGTGATGAGTAGTATTTTAAAAAATTAGGCTTGAATATTGAGGGAAGTTCCCCAATAATTTTGAAATATATATGTGTTTCTTTTTATAAGTTGCATTTTGGAGATATAAAAAAATTTAACGTATTTTTTATATTTATCCCCAATTAATTAATTATACGTCCCTATCATCTCATTTTCTTACTTATTGTCTTTCATATCTTTTTTCATTCATGCTCTTCTACCAACCTTTTTTATAAAAAAAAATGGTGCTTTTGAAAAATAAAAAGCATTTTTCATATATTTATTTTTTTAACAATGGTGCTAGCTAAAAATAAAGTGTTTTTTTTTTAATTTTAACGAATTTTTTTAACCAAAATGGGAAAGATATTTAAAGTTCCATTCTTCTAACAGTGGGTTTCCCCAGTTTGGCGCCACAGAAGAGAGACTCTTGCATCAACGGTCAGCAACTGTATGATTTCACAAAAACAAACTAGAGAAATGGAGCTCCAAGTCCTGCCTATTACCCAATCTTCAAGAATACCAAACCCATCTCCTCCTTCCTCTGTAGCCGAAACCAGAACTCCCAAACAATCCTTTTCCTTCTTCTCCTCAGATTCCCTTCTCAAAGCAAAGCATCCTTCTTCCATTATATTCTCCTCCATCACCATGCCTCTGTCTCCATTCCTCTCAGCGAATCTCTTCTCTGAAACTCACCCCCGCAAATGGCCTCCCAATACCCTACGGTTCCTTCCCCTGCAGCAGATGCTACTACACTCACGCCTTTCAAGTACTCCAATCGCGTTCTTCTGAAAACCCTATTGGAACGCGCCGATCAGAGGCCTGAATTGATCGGCCAGAGGGTTGTGATCGGTGGATGGGTGAAGTCTTCTCAGGAGGTGAAGAAGTCATCCCCGATAACGTCTTCGTTACATGGCGATAAAAAGGCTGATGAAAGCAAGACCAAAGATGTAACGTGCGTTGAGATTATTCAGTCTAAGATACCTTTAATTCGATCAATTTTGGAGGCTTTCGGCGGCAGTGGGGGTTGCAAGAAAAACGAGTCTGTGACCCCTAAACCCACGCCTCCCCAGCCTTCCACAGTGTATCTGATGGTCACGGATGGCTCGAGCGTTGCGAGTCTTCAGGTGCATATATTTCTACATTTTTGAATATGCACAATTTGATCGTCGAGAATATATTCTCTAATGATTCAGGTCTCAGATGTTTCCTTGGAAAAAATAAGTAAAAAGCTAAATTATGCGCTTTCTGCAAATTTTGAGCCTAAATTTATATAAAATTCATTTCGACCACAAACAATGAAAGATGGATTTTTTGTGGAGGGAACAAATTATATCCTTAAGCAAAATGCTTAGTTGCGTACTCGGTGGATTGAATTTAGTGAAAGTGCAAGTTAATCTGTTATGTTCGTTGCTGTCTTGAAAGATTTTGTGGGTTTCTGCAAATGTCCTTCCCAAGCATATACAGTCATGCGATATTGCCTTGTCTTCGGATATTTTTGGACTAGAATAAATGCATGAAACAATTGTTTATTTGAGGAGTCAGTCAATTATTATTTTATGGTCAATTTAGATTAGGTGCTTGCATTGCAAGTAAAACCAAAAAGTCCTGGTTATAGGCATCAACCTTTCATGTCAGCAGCAAAAAATAGCTGATACCTTATAGTGGTACCACTCAAAAGATTGAGTTTTTTCCCCCTTTTGGACTAGAGCTAAAGCTTTGATTATGGTACATTAAGAATTGCCTAAGGTTTCACCCGTTTTAGATGGGGAACTTTTGGAGATATTTCCCTGAACCTGATTCTACATACATGAGGATCTGACTGCAAACTGGTACTGGTTATCTAATCATACATACTAATCCAATTTTGTTAGAATGAGCATGTAAAATGTGAATTATTATCGCATACATTCGTGTCTTTATTGTCAAGCTTAGGACTTAAAGGAGCATTGGATTTGTATGTAAAACATTTAGGTTATCATGATTCTCAATGGTATTTGAAATGTTTTAGGTGGTTGTTGATTCTTCACTGGCTCCCCCCAGCAAGCTGCGGCCTACAGGAACCTGTATATTAGTGGAAGGTTTCCTAAAGAAACCATCAGCAAAGGGAAAGCGCGTTATTGAGCTTGAAGCTGACAGAATTCTTCACATTGGTACAGTAGATCCTGACAAGTATCCACTTTCAAAGAAGCGATTACCATTGGATATGTTGAGGGGTTTCTCCCATTTTCGGCCTCGAACGACCACGGTGAATTCTAATATGATATATATATATTTTTTGTTTTGAATTCTTCCTGGTTGTCAGTTTGTGTGGCTAACTAGAAATCTTGTTCAGTTTTTCAACATGTTAGATTTTCTGACAGAATTGCATATCACTGTCATGTCATTCTTTATGAGCTATGTTTATACAATGTATTGCATAGTTATGAGAGATGATAATTATTTCATGACTAGGTGGTTTGGAGAATTTTGTTCCAGTTGAACTTTATTACTGTGTAGAAATAAATCTAGTTTACAGAGTCTAATTTTCAAGGGGAAAAAATATTGGGTTGAACCAGCTGGGCCAAATACACTGTTCTGCCTGTATTTATACATTTCTGCCATATCTGTTATTTTAAGAGTAGGGTTTTGAAATGGACCCCGCTCATACTCCATCATTCATGATTCTTAATTGTCGAGCAAATTAATGATACAATATCATGCTTGTAGTTGTAGTCTTATCTTTTTCATGCTTTATATATCATGATTAGTATATTATGTAAGAAATATGAATTTCATTTGTACTCAAATAATATGTTCTGCATGCATCAGGTAGCATCTGTCATGCGAATTCGTAGTGCCGTCTCTTTCGCTACACACTCATTTTTCGAACATCATGCATTCTTTGATGTGCAAGTACCAATTATAACAACGTCAAACTATGAAGGGTTCGGCAAAATGTTCTCGGTCATTTCCCTGGAGCAGAAAGCAGACAAGGAGAAGCTAAATACCATTGATGAGATTGAAGGCATTAACCTTGAAACTGTGAAAGCAGCTGTAAGAGAGAAAAGCAACCTAGTTGAAAACTTGAAACGAAGTGATAGCAATAGGGAAGCACTGGTTGCTGCAGTTCAGGATCTGAACAAAACAAATGAACTGGCATCACAGTTGGAAGCAAGAGGAAAGATGAAATCAGCATCCTCATTCAAGGCTGATAAAATAGATTCTTCTGAAGAATTTTTCTCTTGCCAGACTTATTTAACTGCTTCTGGTGGCTTACATTTGGAGACCTATGCTTGTGCTCTTGGAAATGTCTATTCATTTGGGCCTAGATTTCAAGCAGACAAAACAGATTCTTCAAAACAAGCTGCAGAAATGTGGATGGTAGAGGCTGAAATGGCTTTTGCTCAGCTAGAGGTATCCTTTCACTATCTGACTTTGCATTATTACGTCACATACTTCTATACGTAACATCTATTACGTAACAAATTTTTGTACTCTTTCTAATTTCCAAATACCATAATGCTCAATTAGTACTGAGTGTTTTCCATTTAATGAGGGCTCTGTTCCAGCGGAATGAATGATGTTCGGTTTCTGTAAGATTTTGTTATATGATATATTTGATGAAGGAGAATAGTATACGTACTGGCTTAAGGTGTTTTCTGAATCAATGCTTTATTTTTCAAAATAAAATTGGGCAGAGTGAGTTTTTCTGACAATGGTGATATATCTCAAAGTTTATGAACTGAGGATCACTACAATTTCAAATTCTTTCTTTATACTGTGGTTGGAATTGGAAGGTCTTTCTGTCAACATTTTTTACTTGTGTTCGCAGGATTCCATGCGTTGTGCTATGGACTTATTGAAATACCTATGCAAGTGGGTTTGCGAAAATTGCTCTGAAGATATGAACTTTGTTGCCAAAAGAATTGACAATGCCTGCGTCAGTCGTCTTCAGCAAACTGTATCTGGCCCCTCTGAAATTGTGTCCTACAGGGACGTGATTGATATTTTGAGGAAGGTACGCTGTCACATGCTCCATGATGATAACATGTTCATAGTCTTCACTCCCTTTTTATTTTATTTGTTACCTCTCTCTCTTCTTCAGATAGATTAGACTTAGTCTTGTTATTTATTTGTTCTCCCAGGTCACAGACAAGAACTTTGAAACAAACATCCAATGGGGTGTTTCCCTTACTACAGAACATCTGAGGTATGGATATTCTCGTGATAGATTTTGGTTCTGTTTTATCTGTCAGAAGTAGAGGTGCCTCCACCAATTTAGCTACTAACCATTCTCTCCAATGGCAGCTATTTGGCTGATAACGTATTCAAAAAGCCTGTAATGATCTACAACTATCCAAAAGAAGCTAAGCCATTTTTTCTTCGTGTGAATGATGACATGAGAACAGTGGCAGCATTTGATCTAGTTGTCCCTAAGGTATGGTGAAACATGAGTTTAATATAATCTGTGCATGGATTGCTGTAAAGTTGTGTCTGAAGGATTCTGATAATGATGTTAGTCGAAGCTTCTCGTCTCGTTTTCTTCAAATACCAAAAATGTCTTCAATCATGAAACACATTTGCAGGTTGGAGTAATAGTTTCTGGTAGCCAAAATGAGGAGCGGCTTGACATGATAATCTCAAGGTACTATCTCTCTCATTTGAGTGTCAAATTTCTGTATTTCACATTCTTCCTGCTCTGTATTTTCATGTGATGCATGCTTTCTTGGTAAAATATGGTCTAAGCATCTTTCTGTACTTCATTTAATGGCAGAATTAAGGAGCTGGGCTTGCCAAGAGAGAAGTATGAGTGGTACCTCGACCTTCGACGACACGGAACAGTCAAGCACTCCGGGTTCACTCTGAGGTTTGACCTTTTGATTCTCTTCATAACAGGCCTTACCAATGTCAGAGATGTTATCCCTTTCCCCAGAAGCCATGGCAAAATCATGAACTGATTGTGTTTTGGGGTAAAGTTCAACAGTGGATAATGTGAATACTTTCAGCTCAAAACTCTCCATTTGCTGCAGACAGAAGAAATGAAGTAGCAGCTTGTATTTTTCTTACATATAAAAAGTTGTAATCTTTTAGCCCCCGGTATTTCGTGTGTGTTTTTGTGTGATCATTTTCAAATTTCATGAAAGGGTAATGTATATGAGGAACTTTATAATTGGAATGAAATTATTCAAATCTTGTGCAGTTCTTTAAAGTGCCAATTTGATTTTATCTTCATAATAGTATAGAGTCTGGATTTTTTTTTTTTTTTTTGCCTTTTTAATCAGTGAGTACCCTTCCGTTCAAATTGCATTGCATGTGAACTAATAATTCAAAATGACTCATGTGAGGACATTTGATTGAGAATTAATTGAAGCTCATCTTATCAAGTTGCAAGATGACAAGGTTCAGAAGTTCTATGCACTTATTTTTAATATCTTTTTGAATTTTTAAAAGAAGCAAGATATATAGTAACTTATTAAAAAAAATAACGCTTGATAATAAATAAATAAATAAAAAGTGAAACGTCAAATCTGAACTGCCTCTTCATGATTCAACGGTCCAAATTTAATGTTGACTAGGGCAATCAATCATTCTGAATAGATAGTACTACTACCGTCCTTTGTCAAAGAACTCAAGTCCTTATGTAATGAATTTGTCAAATCTCTCAGATGCTCATGCTATTTTCGGACTTAATAGGCAATAAATCAATAATTTAATGTTATTTTCGTGTCTACTCGAGGCCCTGCAATTTGCAAAATAATGTGGTGTTTGAAATTCTCCCTTTGCCCTTGGAGCTTATCATCATGCATTCATACTGATAGGAAAAGTAACATATTCAGGAACAATCAATTTAGGGATTCCATAGCTCCTGTGAGTGCAGGTCTTGATGTGCTGTGCATTTCTGTGCATCCCCAGGGTAGTACCACAAGTCCAAGTTTAAACCAAAGACCAAGACTTTGGCTGGATTTACCTCACTTGACTTGGGGGTAACTCGCATGTGTGCTTGTTTGGAATATGGATAGGATACTTTAAAAGTAATTTTTTTTAATTATTATTTATAAAATACGATATAAGTATTGAATAGAGTTTTGTTTTAATTTATGTAAATGTCTTTATATATATTGTTAGAGTTGTGACTTAGGTAACCATAAAGGTAAACATGCTACATTTTTCTAGCTTGTTGCCAAAGAAAGCCCAAGTAATTTCGGGTTTCGCTGGGCAAGATTAGCTTCTCCGCTCAATTGATGATGCTTTCCCTATATGTGAAGATCTCTACTAAACTTGATAAACAAGATTTTAAACTTTATATATATTCGTTAATTTCACAACTTGGAATATTACAAAGAAATGAAATGTAAGCAACTACAATACAAAGTTCATGTATCTATTTATTATTCCATAATTCCATATAATTACATAATCAAACACAATAGAGTAGGTCTTAACACAATATTCATGAGCCAACATGTCAATAACTTGAGTTTTAAAATATATAATATTTAATATTATCGTAGGTCTGAAAATGCTATTGTTGTCAGCATCTCTGTGTTCATCCGCATGTTCTTTATTTATGGCAATATATTCCTCTTGTTTTTTTTTTGCAATTTTTTTGGGTTTAAAATGCTACATTAGGACTTTTGAGTTGGTGATTTAAGTTGGGGTTTCATTGTGGGTGGGTAGGATGATGAGAGGTGCTCTGTTTTTGGTTATATTGTGGGTAGTTTTTCTTTGTTTTAGCATGACAAGCTGAAGAAGAAACTTTTTCTACGAAATAGGATATTGTGTTATCAATATAGGCTGCGAAAGTTATCAATGAATACCACGATAGTTGTCAATAGTGCTGCTTCACTTGTCAATAATAGCTGGACGATTGTTGGTGCAGGTTTACATTAATGTTGGCCATTACGTCTTGGAAGCATTTATTTTGCTTTGTTCATATAGGAGTAAGTTTATAGATGATAGAGAAAATGATATGAGATATATTGGAGGTAGTGCAAGAACAACAAGTATAAAAGAAAGGACAAGTTATGAAGAGTGCAACTGAAGCTGGGCATATCGATTGTGCCTGTAAAATGGCATTTTGTATTGAAATCATTAAATTCTGTGATAAAAATAGTTGATGAGACTATGCTTACAATTTACGGAGCTACTTTGGACAATTTAATGTGGTTGTATTGACAATTAAATTATATACTCCTCCGGTCCTAAATATAATACCATTATACTAGTGTCTATAAGGGTCTTATATTTAGGATTGGAGAGGTAGTTAATATCCATGGACTAGTGCACAAGTAATATTATTGCTTTGTATTAAATTAATGGATAATCTAATTCCATATAGCCTATTACTTTATGTGAATGTGTTATTTATTTGAAATTTTCAATTAAATTATGTTTAATAGAGTAATTCTAAAAATGACATTAAACAGTAAAAATTTTAACAAGTTCCAATGGTCTTATTAATAAGTCAACTGTGGATATTAACATATGATATTGAAAATTTTCAAATTGAAAGTGTCATTTATTTAAAATGTTCAATTAAGTTATATGTAATTTAAAATAAAAATATTAACCAGAAAGTATAACCAAAATTTATGTTAATTGGACAAGAGTTTTTCAAAACTTGACAAGTGACAATGCCACCATTGACAAGTCACAGTGTTATCGTTGACAAGTTGATAATGCTTAATCTGCCGCGTCGTCTGAAGTAATCCACCACAGCTTCTAAAGTAGGGGAAAAAAAAAAAGGAGAGACATTCTGTAATAGGTGTAGCGGTGCTTGGATGAATCTGCCGCAACACCTGGATAAAATTCTATGCCCTTGATTTTATGGTTAACAAGTTACAGTGTGACCATTGACAAGTCATATTGCTCTTATTGACAAATCAAATGGTAATTTTGATTTATTGATTTGTTTTTTTAAAAAAAAGTTAACAAATGTCACATTAATCCAGAGGATATGTTAACATTAAATAACACTATATAACTTGAAATCACATTTTTCTCAAACTTATATCTGTAATTATATTGACAAATGATAGTACAGCTGATGACAAGTGACACTATCATCACCATTAACAAGCAATGATGTAGTTATTGACAATTCATTTTATAATTTTATATCAGTAATGATATAATTTTAATAATGATTATCTACGATGTTATAACCAAAATGTAATAGATCAGAGTAATTGAAAACATTTTATGATGCTAAAACCCATTGTATAACTTGAATTCACATTTTAAATAACTTACATCAGTAGATTAATTAACAAGTCATAATACAATCAGTGACAAGTCAAAACAAGTCTATTGACAATGCGGAGTGCAATAATTACAACTCAAATGACAACAGAGTCTAACATATCAATTTATAGCCAATTTTTATTTACGCCTTCATATACATGGAACTACACCTATTTCATAACCCATCTAAAAAAAACCATATGAGTTGCATGTAATTACTAAACGAACCGTTAGTATGTATCCATTTACAAAAAAAATCCATTCGCACTTATTTACAAAATATTCCTTTCACATCTATATACAAAAAATAGATGACTTCAATATATTCTCTATTGAGATTTGGACTCTTCTTAATATTACACCTCAAGTCATCAATCATAAATGAAAAAGGTAAATTTGAGCTTATCGAGCGAGAAACAAGCAAGTTGTCCTGTGCATGATAAATATGTTCACTTCTATATGCTCTGATGGTTAAAAACTCAATATCTTGATATGCTGCCATTGAGTATGCACCCATATATCATGGACAACCATCAACCTTGCACTTTATAATGATCTTTTGTTGATTATTCTTGAAAAACTTGTATGAAAACTTTATGATATGCTGTACTTGTATAATTTTGTTCTTGCACTACCTCTAATGTATCTCATAATATCTTCATCATTTATAAACTCACCCCCATATGAACAAAGCAAAATAAATATTTCCTAGACATACTGGCCATCATTAATGTAAACCTGCATCAACAATCGTCCAACTATTATTGACAAGTAAAGCAGCACTACTGACAACTATTGCGACATCCATTGACAACTTCGTAGCCTACATTGACAACACAATATCTCATTTTGCAAAAAAGGTTTCTATCCAGACTAACTTTCATCTTCTTCAGCTTTTCACACTAAAACATGCTAAAACAAAGCAAAACCACCCGTAATGTAATAAAAAACAAAGCACCCATCATCATCCTACCCACCCACAATGAAACCCCAACTTAAATAACCAACCCAAAGGTCCTAATGTAGCATTTTAAACCCAAAAAATTTGTCAAGAAACAAGAGTAATACATTGCCATAAATAAAGAACACGGATAAACACAAAGATGGTGGCAACAACAGCTTTATTTTGACCACAAATAGCTTCAATGATGCCCTGTACCTTGATGATCTTCAATGATTACGGCAAAAGTAAATAGATTTGAGGTTCCTTGCTTCCGATGAGGGCTTATTTAGTGCTAGTTTTTGAGAGAAGAGTGAGATAGCAATGTGCAAATAGGAATAGGGTTCAAAATCAGATTTCATTTCAATAGGAATAACATAGTCTTTTTACGATTTGTCTTATTGCAACCAAGTCCTTTCGGAACTCCTAAGTAGTTGCCGGATTTGCAGAGACCTTTTTGCAGTATTTTCTCTTCTGTGGGACCTTAGTGTCATTTTCCCATAAAAATATAAACTAATGGGTCCTCATTTTGTGTTTATCACACTGTACTCATCATTGTGATGCAAGGTTTAAATTTACAATTTTTAATTTACAATTTTTTTGATAATAGCTTTATTTTTTAAAAAAAGTGTTAGTTATAAGATTATCTTTATTTTAAATTATGTCTCTATTAAAACAAAAAGTTAATTAAAATATATAAAAGATTTAAATTCAATCCAGACCATTCAAAAATTGGGATGAGCATTTCATGCTCACCCTTGTAGTGAGTACAAAATGTGCTCCCATTAAATAAATTAAATAAATAGTATCCTTATTCGATGCTCATCACACTGCGTGCTCTCTAATCTAGTCAAATAAGATACTATTAAAACCTCCGTACCCTACCATTCCCTCCCTCCCCTCAAGCCAAACAAGCCCTAAGGGGGGCTACTCTTCACTGGATCCAGGAAAAATGGGGGCAGAGGGAGTGAGCTTTGCCGAATATTGAATATATGTATTATATATAAATATATATGTTAGATTTTTGGGCTTGGATCCGCCCTTGATGGGCCGGATTATTTGACCGGGTATAAAGAGAATGTATCAGTCAAATATCCAAGCGATATTGTGATATGTTTGACTTGGTCAAACACCCTGAATCATATCCAATCGGTTACGATATAAATCTAATTAATTTATATTAAATTAATTAATTTATATTGTGTAGATTAAATATATATTAAGTATATATATTTAGAATTAATTGTGATTGATTCTGGATTTAAATTCAAATATCATGATATTATGAGATAAGGATATATTACATCTTATCTCAGATTTTATCTGATGGGCTCAGTGGATATTTTTATGCTACCCAAAATATCCCTGACAAAAGCTATAAATAGAGGCTTCCCCCCATCAGTTCAAATCACTCCAGTAGTAGAGCTTTCCTACTATATCTCTCTCTCTCTCTCTTATTTTCTTTCTTGCAAAAGTGGTGCTCTGCTGTGCACTTAAAAGCTTAGACTTTTATAGTCTAGCTTAAGCGTGAGCTAAGAAGATTCGACTGACCTGACCCGAGATCCGACCCGGTATGTTTTCGATCCATTGTCTTATTTTTTCTCTTACAATATATATATATATGTGTGTGTGTGTGTGTGTATATTATACAGTTGCCTAATCCTAAAATGCCTAATTATTTTTTAGGTTGTTTCTTTCTAGCTAAGTTAGATGTATTTTTACTAAGCTCAAGCAAGTGTTACAAGCATATGGCCCATATGAACACCTCTGGTAGGTGTAACTGAATTCTCAAGGAGGTTTTCAAATTAATATATGAAATCTATATTAAGAAACAAATGTAAAAGTTCAGGTTTTATTGTCAAATTTTGAACACCGGGTAGAATGCATCTGATTATGATTAAAAATAGTCTAGTTTTTAAACATTTAGTATAAGTAGGTTTCTTTGCATTGCATGAGATGTGGGAAGTGAGTCAAATAATTTATAGGTTATAAATAATACAATTTTTTTATGAGATAACAATTAATTCTTATATTTTGTTGTTTTCTAAAAAATATATAATACAATATTGAATTATTTGCGTAATTACAAAAGAATCTTGATTGCAAGATTTGTTGGCCAGCACCTCCAGATAATGCTTCTCTGCCTCGCAGCAGAAGTTGGCAGTGTATTTCTCATACTCATTAATTGCCATTTAAAAAACAGAAAGAAAGAAAGTAAACAAGAAAAGAAAAGAAAAATCTCTCCCCCCATCTCTCTTGCCTTTCTCTCTCTTTCCGACCTTTCTACAAACTTCACATTCATCAGTTAAATATATACATATAATAATATACAGCATGGATGGTCATTTCAAACTTACGGCAATTCAGAAGGCAAGAATGGCCGCCACCAATAAACCACTGTTTCTGCTCTTCTTCATCACCTTACTCCTTTCAGCTCAACTCCTACAAGGTCACACTCATCCCTTCCTTCTTCTTCTTCTTCTTCTTCTTCTTCTTCTTCTTCTTCTTCTTCCGTCTACACTGAATCTAGCTGGTTTAAGTTTTTTCAGCTTCCACAGATATGGTTCCCATAACCCACCCCTAATTTTTCTGGGCTTCCCTCAGATTTCAGCACCAAGCTTTCCAGAAAAACTACTAGTGCCTTTTATTTACATCTATGTCTTCTTCTTTTTCTTCTTCTTCTTTCTTATCTGTATATCTGTATTGAATACAGTTTCAGTTTTGCACCATTGATAAGCTTCCATTTATCAGCTCTCTCGCTTTTCTGTATCACACTACTTTTTTTGGGTTTCCCTCAAAATTACCAGAAGAATGAATTTTTACTCTAAAGTTGCAGGAATAGAAACAGAAGGACGGGTGTCTCAATCCTCTGATCAAACCCAGAAACAACAACAAAGTTTGGAGGTACGTATTATTGAACTGCTGGCTTATGCTTAATTCCGTGTTTGGCTTCAGAAAGGAAATTAAAGGAAAAAAATGACTTGAATATTGTGAATTAAATTTGTGAGTGCCAGGGAAAGAAAGAGCGTTGGATCAGGAAGAGGAATAATATGAGTAGGAGGATGATGATTGGATCCACAGCACCAACTTGTACTTACAATGAATGCAGAGGATGTAAACACAAGTGCGTAGCCGAGCAAGTCCCTGTGGAAGGCAATGATCCTCTCAATAGCCCATACCATTACAGATGTATCTGTCATAGATAGACCACCACCATCATCATAGTTAGCTTTTTGATTAATCATATTAAGTGGCATGATGATCCTCTCCAGTCATGATGCAGTCATCCATCTGTGAAGAGAAATTCAGATATAGAAGAGTAAGACTTATCTGTATGAGACTTGCATCTCTTTGATAGCTAGACTCTATTTTATATTTGCTTTTAGCAGTTTTGGGTCCTAATAATAATAATAATCCTTCTGCCTTTTATTGGCAGCGTGGTTTCAGTGTTTTTGAGAGCAAATGATAAGCTGTAAAATTTTTGCACATTTGGTGTGATTGGTTGGTGTAAGTTTGATTACTGTTCGAAGAACTAGTGTTGTTTATCTTAATTATTGCTAGTGTTCTTTTTGTTTGTGCATATTGTTACTTAGATATATACAAACTCTTTCAATATATACTCTTTATAAAATACAAATAACTGAATTACATAGAATAAAAAATTGGTTAGAAATAATAAAGATGTAAGAAATACAACTTAATTTCTAAAAATAATTTTATTTACGGGAAAAAGAGTGAGAGAGAACAAGTAAATAGAAACATTATATTGAGTAATCAATGCAGTGAGATTAACCAATAATTAATGGAGATAAAAATGAAAACTAATAATAAAAATTTTAAATACTACTTCCGGTCCTAATTATAAGAGCTAGTTGACTAATTTGAAAAGATTAATGAAGTAAGTTGAGTTAGTTATTTGTTCTAAATAGGTGTTGTCTTTCTTAAAATATCATTGCTAATTAAGTGTATTGGCTAGAACTATCATTGTTAGAAGGACTACTTTGGAAAAATATATATAAATATGAGAGACAAAGTGGATTGACGTCTTATATTTAAAACCAAAATAAAAATCAAATAAGATTTTATTTTAAGGACCGAAAGTAGTATGAATGTTTCTTATAAATAAGAATATATGGTTCCGGGAAAAAATTTTCTTTTATATATTTGTGTGCGTGTGAAAGAAGGGAGAATAATGGAAGTAAAGGGGACAAGTGTAGTTAGAAATATCTGAGATATTGACATTTCTCAATTGGCATATTATGTATGTAATGTCATTTTTGTTATTTTTCGCCACATCTTTTCCATGTCTTCTTCATCAATTGTAAAACAACTTTTTGTGACAATGGGAAAGGTATTTCGGCTTTAACCCATTGTAGCTGCTAAAGAAAATGACTCCCTTAATTATATGAATATTTTACATTGAGAGGATTTTTTTTATAATTAAAAACACAATATATAGTGACCAAAGAATTATATCTAAAATAGCAATAATACTAATTTTGATTGGGTTATTAAGTAGTGAGGGAACTCAATTCTTCTTAAATAAAATTGAAAGTTCAAACTTATGAATAAGAAAAAATTTATATCATGACATATATATATATACACATATGTGTGTATATATTTAATTGGATCTAATCATACTCAAACTTCACCTACTAGTTAATACTAAATATGAAAAATTAAAGAAAAGGGAGGGATTAGTACGTATCGACAAAGATATATGTTTTCACAATCTACATATGAGGGTTTTCAGGTAGCTATAGCCTACAGACATCTACGATGATCGGAGATGGTTTTGTTTTTTAAATATGATTTAAATTACTGTTTATATATGAAGTAAACATTTGTTTTTTGAAGCTTTAATTTGGACTTTCCTAATTCAATACGGGATTTTTTTTTTTAATCTATTTTTTCAACATCTGTCATGTTGGTATAAGGAAAATGAAAGGAAGGGGAGGATACAAACATTTTAATAAGTTCAATTTAAAAAAATTTAAAAATAGGATTAAAAATTTTTAATTAATTTTTCTTAGTCTTTTATCTTATATATTTCCCCTCCCCTTCATTCCCCTCATAGTCTCGTACCCAACATATTATAAGTTTTATCATTTACTGTTCTTTGATAAATTTATGTTTTATAAAACAAGTAATTCGATAGGGGAAAAAAAATAACATTCACGTTAATACATAATGAAAGAATGATAAATTACCAGAGTCCATTTTTTTCGCTTTTAAATATTGATAGTCCACATGAAATGATAAAGTTTGAGACGATTTTCTAATTAACAAAATTAACAGAAATGAATAAGTAATTTAGAGTATTTATTCAATTATTATATTTTTAAATACAGTCAGAATTCTCTCAAAATCAAAATAATCTCACCCTAAATTTCTTTAAACCCTTATGATAATGTTCAAAAGTTGATACCATCATGATGTAACCCAAAAAAAAAACAATCTTCCAGTTATTTAAACCCATGATGTTTCAAACTAGGAGAAATCAAATAAAAGAGACAGATATCTTGTTTCTTTAGGGAAAAAATAATTTTTCTAAAAAAAAAACAATTCTGTGGAATCTAGATGACCACACTAGCGTAATCAATAATTTATATGAACAAAGGGTGGGACTAAGAATGATTGTTTGTGGAGGTTAGGGAGAGAGTGGTCCCAAAAATTAGGCAAAAAGTGACAAGAGATCACATGGGGGGATGGAAATCTGTAACAATTGAATTCATTTGCAGATAATGGCAAAACCATTTTATGAACAGAGCAGGAGGTCCCATACATTAATTCATTCCTGTCATGCTTATTCTGTTTCTTTGCATTTGGACTCTACTCCCACATTTTGCATCCCTTTTGACTGTCTTTTTCATGCGTATCACTACCCTCTTCTCAATTATCACCATTTTGTCAATGGCTTTGTTGTCGATCCCATTTATAACCCTAGGTCCTTACCCTTCTCATTCAAAAAAAATTAATCATTATTTCGCCAATGACTTTGTAATCTAGTAACATGAAAGCTTCTTTGTAAGTGGGAAGTTGTAGGTTCAATCCCACTTATAACTTTAGGTTCTTGCCCCTCTAATTCAAAAAAATTAATTACCATTTCGTAATGACTTTGTAATCTAGTGACATGAAAGCTTCTCTGTAAGTGAGAAGTATAGGTTCAATCTCATTTAAAACTTTAGGTCCTTACCTCTCTAATTTAAAAAAATTTGATCACACTTGTAACTTTAAGTTCTTACACCTCTAATTCAAAGATACTAATCACCACTTTGTGAATGGCTTTATAATCTATGACATGAAAGCTTCTCTATAAGTGAAAAGTAGTAGGTTCAATCCCACTTGTAACTTCTAAGCCCCATCTCTCTAATTCAAAAAAATTAACCACCATTTCATCATTGAACCTCACTTAATATGTATATGTAGTGCCAGTTCTATTAATCTTGCTTCCTAATTTAAGGCATTATTTTAGTGTTTGTTACTTGATCAACCTCGTTTAGCAGATAATTGAAAGGCATCTTAATTTAAGTATTTTGTTTGATTTGGGTGTTGAAAGGAGTACAGAGTATGTCTGTGTGTGGTACTTAGGAGAGAACCCAAAAATCTATCGTATGATTTGCATTTGGGTAAGAATATCTATTATTTAATTTAGACAAAACGAAAAAAATGTAAATCGGTTGCGGGATGGAAGTGGAAATGAAGAAGCTTTATAAATATTTAGCCATCTTGCATTCCGAATGGAATTAATTCTGATCACTCATTTAAAAAGAATACCATATCTGTTTCTTTTTACCCCCGTTTATGTATCTTTTCCTTTCATTGGTAAACACTTTTTATCGGTTTTTGTGTGTGTGTGTGTGTGAGAGAGAGAGAGAGAGGAGGGGGGGGGAGGGAGGGGGGGTCTAGTTTCTTCCACATTTATCTTGGCCTTTCTCATTTCACTGTTGATATCAACCAACATGTTTATCACCGTGCATTTTCCACCATTCTCCATCTCCAGTTAATGGGTGACAATTAATTTAAATTAAAAGGAAAAAATTTGAAAAAACCAAATCAAGAAAAAACACTTTCATTCCAATTAATTGTGAAGCAGAGGCGGATCTGTTCACTTCTCCATCTTGGATCACCTCCACAATTCCCTTTTCATTGATTATTTGATTTGATTTCAAGACTCTGTCTAAACTTTCATGCAGGTAAATGACTAAATTCTTGAAGTTAGTTGTGAATCTGAGATTAACAACAGGTTAAAACGTTAGATACAACAGACTTGGTTGGTACACAAGGAAAAAGAATATGTTCTTGTTTTGCAGGATACCGCAAAGTTTCCCAAAATGTTACTAGCCTACTTCTAGTATTCCTTCTTCCTCCTTTTCTCAAGACTCTCCTCGTTTAATTCATATTCTCATCCATTTTTGTACTTGTTATTCATCTTCTACTCATTTCCCGCACTATTTCAAGGATTTCTCACTGAAAAATCACCCACCTGAAGTTTCAACTTTTATTTCTTAATAGCTAGGAAACATTAGTGTTGTTAGGAGGGATTTGGGATAGAGCCATTATAAATTAGAGCAGCAAAATTCCAAATGGTTGATAACTTTCTTAATAGTTTAAATGTGCATTATCTTCTTTAACAGAGCACTTATTTATGGCTATTAAATACTAAGGTAGTAGTGCATTATCTTCTTGTCTTGCCGTTCGCCAAACATTAAGAAACTGCACTGTGTTAATTGTACAAAAGTATTTGTCTGCAGAAGAATCCAGACACCAAGATCCAGCTACAAATGAACTGCTTCCTGCTAATTTTGACCATATCTAATCTTTCTAAATAGGGTTATCAAAAACTCTATGCCATTAGATGCAATTATAGATTTCGTATTCCATAAGGTTTTGAAGTCTAAATGTGAATGTGTCTACACCCAGAAATGCAGATAATGGTTCTAATGGCATAGCTTTGCAAATACAGAAATTGAAGGACCCATTGAGATATGAACTAAAAGAAAGAAGAAAAGATCATTGGAACCATCTTTTGCTACGTGACTTTTCCTTAACCTCTTTAAAAAGCAAGGGTCTTTCCAAGTAAAGATTCAGCCTAGTCGTGGCTATTTTCACCAGGTCCATCAATTCAGACAAAACTATTTAATACAGAAATCAAGAGAGTGCAGAGCCTATACAGCTATGAACAGCTACTATTTTCTACAGCCTGGAAGTAAGA